CCTGCTGAAGTCTAGTACTCTCTGTCTCATGGTAACTTGGTTTTCGTATTTGTCAATTTTCCTGTCAGCTGCTGCCTGTGAGTTTTTGGACATTGTTGAGCTGCTGCTCCAGTCCGGCGCCGACCCCACAGTCCGAGACCAGGACGGCTGCCTGCCGGAGGAGGCGACAGGGTGCAGAGCGGTCACTTTGATGTTACAGCAGCACACGGCTGGCAAGGCTTAATCAAAAGACTGGAAACCCACAGTCTATAACAGCACAGGGCTTCAGTGGTGAAAGAAAACTTCAAAAATAACACGTCTTTTGCCACCCCTCTTTGGTATACACTGGCTAATAAAATCAGTTGTGAGAAACTGGGGTTTTGAAGTCTCAGCAATTCCTTCTACTTACATGTATTCCAGCGAGTACCGTTTGGTGATGAACATGTGTTCTGTGCATGATACAATCCAATTCCGCTGAACGTGCTCTGAAATTTATCACTGTTCTAGAGGCTGGGAGAGGAGGAGATGCATCGTATTTCACAATCCTATCATGGCTGCTTTTTTAGAAAACAGAGAGAAGGGGCGAAGAACCGGCAGTACTACACTGACAATTAGGGAAAGTGCCATGAAATCCCAACGTGGTGGAGCCCACACGGTCTCGTGGCATTTGGTACAGCTGGTCTGAATAAGTAGCTAAAACATCTATTCTTTTGTCAGACAGAATTGGGAAGATAGGAAAGAAGAGGGCTGTTAAGAAAGCAAAAGGGAGAAAGGGCAGAGTTTTGTCACATAAGGGATACAGAAATCAGAGGAACAACCAGGTTTACGGAAAAACCTCAGAATCTTGGACATTTTAGGATGGAAACACAGATTCTAGAGAATGCACTGGTTAGGTCAGGATTCCTTAAACTCACCTTTACAAAACAGGGAGGAACCTCCCTAGGGCCCTTTTAATTGGCTGTAATGTTCCTGTCGCATATGGCAGCAGTCTCTGTAACTAGCTCAGGCCTGAACTGTTAGGCCTGTTTGGGTCTAATATGAAACAGCCGTAATGCCCCAATACTTAGGTGTGATTGAAGTTATTTCTGGAGCGCTTCTATTTTTTATTAAAAACATAGACAAGTACGCCACAGGTTTTATTTAAAGGATAGACAAGTATGCCACTGGTGAAAGTGGCTCCCTACATTTTCCCCTTTAAGCCTCAAGAACTCCATCTGGGAAATTCCTTGACGTTTCTTATTATGTGAGGAAAGTAGATAGTTGTCATAGGAAGAGAAATGAAGAAACAAGTTGAGATGCCAAGATGACCATTTAAAAGATACTTTTTCTAACGTGTCACTCCTGAGATAACAAGTAATAAACCTGTTTAGTGGAGCCCTCAACAATGGACAAGAGTTTCATTAGCTCAAGCTCACCTGTCCTGGAACAAGCCCCTCCAGAGCAGAAATGAGGCATATTACTAATGCTGCTTATTTTGTGATTTTTCTAACCTCTTATTTTCTGAGATGTAAACCAAAACCACTCACCAAGATTATTCATTTTTTAAATGACTTCTTAATTATCTGTGGAAGTGATGAGCATGTTAGTACATACTGAAATGCTACTGTAATTCTAGCAGAGCTCTCTCTTCGTTATCTGTCCTTTTCCCACAGTCCCAGCTACATTGCAACCTACTGTTCAGCTAAATTCTCTCATGTTCCACATCAATTGAATGTGTTTTAAGTAACATTATTCATTAGTTACAGTAAAAGTGACCAAGATGTTGCATGAAGCTTTTAACTGATATTACTTGGTGCATTTTTCGGACATTAGCGAATCAAAAAGTGTTTATTCATTTCCAATTTACAGGGTAGTTACCTGAGCAAGAAGCTATCAAGGAACTCCTTTTTTCATTTCTCTTTTGTAATTCGACCTGGGTATGTATTAGACAAGTTTTTAATAAGCTGTTTTGCCACATCTAAAAGAGGTTGTTTTTAAATAAAGAATGTAATTTGGTTTTTATTCATTTTACTTTAAGGTTTCACATTTGCATTGAAAGCTATCACTAAAAACAGTCATCGGGCTTCCCTCGTGGCTCAGTGGTTGAGAGTCCGCCTGCCGATGCAGGGGACACGGGTTCGCGCCCCGGTCCGGGAAGGTCCCACGTGCCGCGGAGCGGCTGGGCCCGTGAGCCATGGCCGCTGAGCCTTCGCGTCCGGAGCCTGTGCTCCGCAACGAGAGAGAAGCCACAACAGTGAGAGGCCCGCGTACCGAAAAAAAAAAAAAAAAAGTCATCAACTTAACATTTTCAATCAAGTGCATTTTAAAATCAGTTTCCAAAATCTATACTTTTGTTGCCCGTACCTGAATTTTCAAAAACCTTACTGTCGTATATAACGATCTATGGATCATCTCCCTGTGCCTTATTAAGGGGAAGATTTCATTCATAAATGTCAGAGAAAACTGGATCTTGGCTTGTTTTCATTCCCCTTAAATTATTGAACTATTATGAAGTGCATCACACTTCAGCCAGATCATGAGTTCCATTGCCAAAGCTGAAGCGGTTACCACCAAGCAGAGAACACAAAGATCCCACAAGCTGCATGGCACGGGTTCAATCCCGACCAGGGATCGAACCCACGCCTTCGGCAGTGAAAGGAATTCCCTAACCACTGGACCACCAGGGAATTCCCTGAAGGTTCATTTCCAGTCACGATTCAACTAGAACTTCAAAATAATTGTTCAGCCTTTTTTTTTTTAATGTTTACTGGGATTGGAATTTTGTTTACCTCATCCTTGGTTCTAACTCTCTGATTTGTTATTTTTAGTGTACATGAGAATTTTAAAAATTGAGTCTCCATTGTGTTCCCAAACTGGAAACCAGTTGGCTTGGAGGCATCTTTAGGTAGTGGGTAACTAAAGACGTTTGTCAGTGTTGTGAATAGTTGCTTTTTGCTACTTTACAACTTGCATTTTCCAGACTATTTATATTTTACCTTTCTACTTTAACCTCCTTCTCGGTTCCACCTTTATTCTATTGTCTTGTCCTCCAGCCACCTCTATAGATGTGTGTCTACACATAAAAACATACCTAACCCCATTTTCCTACGCCCTTAATAAAGTGAAAAAGGAAGTTTGTTGCTTTTTCTTCTTTTTCTTTCCTGGAGATACTGTGATCAGAACAACGCTAATGGCTCTTTCTGTATTTAATATTTATTCAACGCTGTCATTTACTTTGCCCTCTATCAACTGATCGAAGAGGCCCTGATTGCCTTCACAGTAGTCTTGATAACACACTAGTGAAAAACAAGGAATAAAAAGAGAATCATGTAAACAAACATTACGGAGGAGGCAAAGAAAAGCATCTGAATCACTGTTACCTTCAGGGCTCTTGCTTGAGTCAGCTAAATCAGTGTTAACTCTTGCGGAGTTCCAGATCACTCTCCCCCTAGAACACAGTGTTGCGCATGGAATTTTGAGGATCTCCTGAAGCCCATCTCTGAACTCCACGGTGGTCTGTGAGTCCCATATAGAACCCCTTTTTTCTGGCTTCTTGTTACAGTATTTCATTCTTGAATGAAATACAGTAATATGTTGACTGAACCCATTTTCATAGTTTTAAGTGCTTCTACCGGATGATGTATGGGGTCTTGCTGTGCCTATTTGAAAGAATGAGAGAAGTGCATCTTTTTTTTAAACCATCGGTCAAGATTCCAACAATACACATACAGTTTTATCGCTGATCACCACGATTGGAAATTTTTAAAGAGGCCCTGGCCAAAAAGTTGGACCCTGACCTATTTGACCTCTGGTTCTGCTGCAGGGCAGAAATGAGCCCACACGTTCAGTTCTGTGTGACTAATGATGGCTTTTTTTTATGCATTTAGCTCTCTTGACTTTTCAGAATGCTTTCACGGGCATTATCTAATCTGTCATCCCTCCACAGTAACCCTGTAGAGTAGGTAGTGCAAGGGCTCTTAAGGCCACTTAAAAGAGGATGAATCTGAGACATTAACAGGTTACTTAAATTGCCCAAAGTCACAGAGTAGTAGTAGAGCCACAGTTAGGACCAAGTCTGCTGAATCTCAGCCCTTTATTAGACCACAGAACTCATGTGAAGTTTTGAAGCTCCTCCTCCATTCAATCCACAAATACTCCTTGAGAGCCTTCTAAATGACAGGCACTGTTGTAGGCCACTCTCATTCCCTTTCCCCATTATCATGGAAATTTAGAAGTACTTATTTGATGTTATCTCAAGATATAGCATGAGATATCTTGAAAAGTCTCATAGAAATTAATAAGTTAACAATCAAAAAGTAAATCTTTTAAACCTACTATAACTATGTCTCTAATAAAGAGATAAGAAGTCAGCCCGCTGAACACATACTGTTATCGCTAATGCTTGTTAGGTAGAAGGGTAACAACCAAAGTATAATATCTAGAATCGTATCTATTATAGCTTTTTTTTAATGTTTCAGCATTTTCCAGCTAAAGGGTTGCCATAATCCAGTGAACCTTTCCATTAAATAGGTATTTCTTAGCTTCCTGCCAGGTTTAACTACTCGGCTGTGGGTTATTATTCCGTGTACAATATGGCATCTCTGAGGATTAATGAACAAGGTGTGTGATGGGAACAGAGCTGAGCTTGGGTTGCAGAAGGGTTAGTGCCCAGGCTAATATATGCTTCAGCTGAACATGAAGACTTTCAAATGCTTATTTAGCATTTAACAGTTGAAACATGAAGGCTTTCATCAAACTTCAGGTCCCTAAAGATGCCCTTCATAAGTAAATGTTTATCACAAAAAGGTATGTAACCCACCAACAATTCAGTAATGAAAATATCAAGTTTAAATATTTATTGAGTGAATTTTAAATCCCAACCCCTAAGGCGTTTTGTGTCAGTTTCAATAGTAGTCGTAATACTATATTAGATGAAGTTTAAGATGCACGTTTTTTCACATTTTAAAGTATCCAAAATTGGATGTCTTTTACAAACAATGTTATAGTTGAATTGGCAGCATTTCTTTTCTTAGTAATGCATAAACTAATGTATCTTATAGTCAATACATCTTAACTTCAATGATGTTAACAGTAATCACACCTTACCCTGTGTAGGACTTTATACACAAGCATCTTAACTGAACCTCAGAATAATTTTAAAGGTAGAAATAATTGGTATTTTCTCTATTTTACAAATGAGGAAATTGAAACTCAGAATTGTTAGGAAAATTGTCCAAGGTTATACAAATAGAAACAGTAGAAATGCCCATCTTTATATAAGCTTTATTATAAAAATATAAAACACTTCAATATACATGATCTTATTTTTCCAGAATCAAGGTGATTTTCCAAACCTGTAATACCAAGTCCAAAAGTTTTCCCTGTACCACATTATCA